GTGTGAAAAGTGGCAAGAGTTGATTACATTAACATAATGGTGCTTGAACATTTTAAAATTCCTATGCTCATGATTTTAGTTTGTGATCACATTGAATATGGCCAACCAGCAGCCATTTTAGACAAAAACATCTTGTATCCAAATATTGAAATGATGTCTGTAATTGCTTTTTATCTCAGTTACTTGGTGTCAAAGGACGCTAAATTATTGTTAGAGTCAGTTACAATGATTTGTTACACAATGCATATTTATATCTTTTACCTATTTATATTATGATACTATAGGTGACGGGTACCGCAGAGATGTCTAGAACTCGTGTGCGTGATTATTTTAATGAATTACATGAAGCACTCTATAGACAGGAAGAGGTTGCTATTAGTGTAGTGGATACACATGTGAGAGAGAAATTGCGAACTTTGCGACAACAACAAGAAGACTTGGCTATAGTACTGTCTCAAACTAGCGCTATTTGCTTACAATGGGAAAGGGTATTACAGCAGGTAAGGCGTTTGCTTCCAATCATATTCCCTTTAAACATTGCACACCGCAAACTGACTATGCTGCTAGATCTGCGCTCATCAGTGAACAAAAATCATTTTGTCATTTATTGTTTCTTGGGAGTGCCTGAGGCAATACTATTCAAACTTTGTATAAACATTCCACATCTAGGACACTCTTAGAACAAAGGTAAAAAATGAACAAGTACTTCATAAAAGCTGCACTTTTGAATTCTGATGAACTAACCAATTTTAATTTTGGATTTGGTAAAATTTGACCGACTATAGGCTATTTTTAATATAATACAAAATGGTATCCCATCTTATTGTTCTTGTTGATTTTTTGTTTAATTTCAATTACCGGGTAAACACGATACAGTAATTACAGATGATTGATTCACATACTGCTTTTTGAGCTCCGCTGTCATCAAAGATGACTAGTCGTCGCCTGTCTATTGTACAGCATATGCCGTCCGTCAACTTTTATAACTTCTTCTCCCAAATCATATAGCACAGCTACCTTAGGTTGTCCTCTGTCAGATTTGTTCATTTCATGACATCACATCCAAATCTCTATTTGTTGGGAATATTTTTGTTCAAAAATGATTTTTTCAACAACTGCTTGTCAGATTGCATTGAAATTTGGCATGAACGTTCTTGACATGTACTAGACTCTGATTTACTAATTTTATGAGACCATATGCAAGTGTCTATTTTTAATAAATATTTTTTGGGTTTTTGTGCTCACTTTTGCATATTTTTTACTTCTTCTCCAAAACCTCCTGCCAGATTGCTTTGAGATTCACAATGTAGATACAGATTTGTTCATTTGGGGAAGATATCTCTATTTTTGTGAAAGTCATGATCTTGGAAATTCATGAATTGGTTTATGATGTAAAGAAAGTTGCTAATAATAACTAATGTAGTAACTCCATGTACAGGACAATGCCAGAGTGGTTATGGCTAAGCATGATGTGAATAACTTGGTGGAAACTTTGCATCAACAACAACAGCTGTTGACAGAGTTATCAGAGCATATCCCAGTAGATGCTACTATACCAATGACATTTACTAAGGTAAGCATCACTTACTATTACAGCTTTCCATGTGCTCAGAATCTAATGATACCATATTATCTAATTTGAGTCTCCAGTAAGAAAAACATACAAACCCAAAATTAGATGCTGGATCATTAAAATATAACTTTGTGTGAACATCGACACACCTCTGTCATTTATGTAAGTGCATATACCCGGTATTACTAAAACAAAAAATATGGTATTGTATCATATCTATTTACGTAATAAATATGTAGTAAATATTTCGTAGTAAATATGGTACCTGTATTTAATACAGTGGTTACTTTGTTAAGCTGTGGGCCGTCAAAGACATAACATCCTACTAAATTTATTGATGCAAACTGTGTGCATGTATTTAGTTCAAATGAACAATGAAATTAGAGAAAAATACCTAACAATATGCAAAATACTGTGAAATACTTTATTTTCGCTATTTTCTGTATTTTACATTCCACTCGTCAAAAATCAGTGAAAGTAAATTCCATACAAAACACCCAAAAAGTTTTTTCAGTGACAATTAATTCCAGCTAAAGTAAAGTATTTTACAGTATTGCACACAGTAATTAGGTAGAAACAACTGTGGTATTTAAAGGATTTATAAGAGCTTGGGCTTCCTTGGTTCTTTGTTAAAATAAATAATTCTTTTGTGTGATTTAAATACAGGACAATAGAGTTCATATTGGTCCAAAGTTAGAAATGAGAGTGGTGACTTTGGGGTTGGATAATGCTGGCAAAACTACTATATTGTTTAAACTGAAGCAGAATGAGTTCATACAAACTATACCTACTATTGGTAAGTTAATCTTACGTGTACAACAAAACCTTCTGTCTCCAGAAATGGGTTCTTATTCTAGAAGTTAGTTGGTTTTAAAAATTTAATATTTACAAATAAAATTTTTGCCCGGAATTCATGCCAAAAAATCACATGCAGGCACACAACTAGTATTAGCCTGAATGCTCAAAACTAAAATTGTTGTAATGTATTA